GTCGCACTTTCGTACTTGGTAAAAGACGAAAGAACAAACGAAATGTCTATGACTCGTTGATACGTTACCAATGTGCACATCGCTTCGCGAGAATAATGAAACGAAGGATTTATTTGCGCCGTAAGGCTGCATGGGAACGAGACGACCCGGAAGAGACGTTCAGTCTACACGCAGGTAGACTGAATGAATGATTGGCTTGTTCCTGGCAGCAGAAGGGGCGAGATTGTCGTGGTGGAATTTGTGATTTTAAAATAAATAATTGTGTTGTTATTAAACATGGTTTAAATTGCTTCCGCATTATTGTTAAACACTCTGCATTTTGCTACAATTATGTATTAAATAATATTTATGATGAATAAAAGTATTTGAAATGTTTTAAATTTATGATTACCAAGTTAATACTTTAGTCTGAAAGGGGCTGCAGACCTGGACGGATTAGGGTGTTACAGATTATTCCTAGTTCTTTGATCCATCTATATGGATTCTTTAGTCTTGAGCACATAACTACTATTTACATTCATGAGTAATAAGTTTTAATTTATTTTGTCAATTATATGCAACATACTTATTGTGCTCCCACTAGTCTTTAATAAGACTTAGGATCCTAGACATATAAGTGCTATAACTACTTATAGATAATTCGAAACCCTTCTCTTATCCTTGATAGACTCGTCCGTAATAAGTGTTTAAAGTGTCTTCATTCATATGAGACTTACTTTCATTACTTGCTTTTTAAGGAAGGAATCGTTTTGGAACAATTTCCAAGTGCTCTTTCCTTTCATAGTCTACAATGATCATTTTAGTGCTTAAGGTTTAGTAGTATTTGGCAAGGTTACATAATCCTCTTTATTAGACTAACTATTTTAGTCACGTTATCTAGATAACGTTTGAGGGAACGTCAATTTCATGATCGTATCACTTTTGTCTATCCTATTATGTAACTTTGGCATTAATATCACTTGATCTTTATTAAGTGTGCTTTATTAATGCTAATGGCAGGTTTAAATTTCGAAAATTTAAATAGAAAGGGTACTTGGCTATAACCTTTATAAAGATATCCTTATATCTCTAAGTTGTTATAACTTCATTCATAATTTTGTGACAAACTTATTAGCTCATTAATATTTGCACTTTGTAGCCTTGGTATAGTTGTTGTATTTGTTTGTGAGGCAAAATATTTGATCATATGAAATACTTCTATAAATGGAGAAACAATTTGTCCTTTATTGAAATAACCAATAGTACTTAAAAAAATAAGTAAACATCAATTCAAAATTGAAAAACTGATCAAATACTAAAACTTAAACTAATGCGCCACTAAGCTGCAACCCTTGCATTTTCAAGATCAACATTCCTACTACTTCTCTTCAGTTCCTGCAACGGTTTGCAATAATATAAGTATCGAATACTTTTGAAGAGATTGTAGATTAGTTTAAGTCTTTACAACAATTGTACCTGAAGCAAAAGCTTCACCCCTTTTGTTGGTTGCCAAATACTGCTTGCAATTCCTTTTCCAGTGGCCAACTTCACCACAGTGATGACAAATGGAAGCTTTAGCCAATCCACCTTTAGGCTTGAGCTTGGAAGAATTGGACTTTGGCTCGGTGTTACCCTTGCCTTTAGGCCCATTCTTCTTTGCCTTTTTGAACTTCTTCTTGCCTTTTCCTCCTTGAACTAGAAGGACAGAATTCCCCTTTCCTTTCGTCAAGCTCTCTTCAGCAGTTTGCAGCATCTTCAAAAGTTCTGGCAGTGGTTTATCGAGTTCATGCATCTCGTAATTAACCACAAACTGCTTGTACAACTCTGGCAACGATTGCAGAATCAGATCAGTTGCAAGTTCAGTCCTTAGTTCGAAACCCAATTTCTCAAGAGTTTGGATGTGGCGAATCATCTTGAGAACATGCAGACCAATGGGGTTTCCAACTGACAACTTGCAACTAAAGAGAGCTTTGGAGATTTGGAATCTCTCATGCCTAGCTTGTGCTTGGTAGAGCTGTCTTAGGTGTATGATCATATCGTACGCCTTCATACTCTCGTGATGTTTCTAAAGGTCAGAAGTCATCGTAGCCAACATGAGCATGCCACCTGATTGTCATCATCAACATGCTTCTCATAAGTATCCTTGATTGCTCCAGAAGCATTGGCGGCTGGGACAGGTGGGATGGCTCGTTCGAGCACATATTCTTTCTTCTCGAGTCGAAGAACGATAATAGGTTTCTTTGCCAGTCTAAGAAGTTAGAGCCGGTCAACTTATCTTTGTCGAGGATCGAGCGATGAGTGAGGTTATGGTTGTTATTAGACATTACATATAATTTGCTAGATAGTTAATATCAAGAATCTAAGTAATTAGCTAGGTCTTTAACTAATAACTCTCCCACTATTTTAACAAATCAACTACCCTCAAGTACGTAACCTGTTGATTCGAGACTTCTCCTAAAGAAATGTCTTAGTGGGCCAAGGTCCACAGTACATTTAACTATAGTTGTGCTTTGCATCTTGCCCTATAGTTAAACTAAATAGGTAGGAACTTATTTCTAATTGTGATCCAATCACAATCCTTGGTTTGTTAGGTTGTTCTAAATAAAATCGTATATTGGGCCTAGATCCTTATTTCATTTAACTATAGTTGTGCCTTGCATCTTGTCCTATAGTTAAACTATTTCAGGTAGGAACTATTTCCAATTGTAACATTTTACAACTCTAGGTTAGGTGTGTTGGAACACGGGTTTACGCCTATGTCGTACTAAGCCGTGTTCGTTTTATGACAGGTTTTGATAATGCCAAACCGCCGTGACAATAACAAGGTTAAACTGAGCAAAACCAAGGCGAAGGAACATGGCATGATGAACTGAGAACCAAGAACCAAGAATCAAGAACGAATACTTAGAATTGTATTGAGTCGGTTTTATAGTGATAAAGACCGGCACAAACATTCAAAACATGGCTCTCTAGGCTCATTTCATCAAAATATTTTTTGCATATTCAAAATGATTTTCTTAAGTCTTAAACCTGCCTGAAAACACTTGGAGTTTGCCCAAACCAAAAACCAAGCCATCCGGCGTTCGGTTTTCAGAAATCGGCGTTCGGCTCTCGGTTTTCGGCATTGGTTTTTGGCGTCCCAACCAACCAAATGGTTTTCAACTTTTTATGACTGGTTTTTACTTCTGGGCATATTTAAATAGTTCTCCAACAAAAATGCTTCAAAAACCACCTTTCGTTTTTGGTCGTTTAGTGAAAACCATGCGAAACGGCGTAAACTTGGCTAGCCGTGGTTTTCAACTAAATGACGTGGTTTTAAAAATGTTTTACTTGATTTATTAGCAAAATTCATTAAACAAACATTTTCAATACTTGGTTTTTGTTTTGGAGAACTTACATTTTTGACATCGGCTAACGGCGTGACTAAACCAGCCCAACAACGATGTTGAGGTAACCAAAAGCGCTGTCTGGCTTGGGTAGCTAAAAACATGGTTTGGCGTTTGATATGCACATATTTTATACACTTTTTAATCATATTTTGAAGGAGTTTTGAGTCTCAATTGAATTTAATGTTTATATTTTATTTCAATTTTCCGTTTTATTTGTGTAGAGCGGTCCTATGCTTGGTTTTATATGTTTTGTAGGTATTTTGAGGCCATTTGGACGCATTGAGAACAATTTCAAGAACGGAAAATAAACATGGAAGTTTGGGACCAAAATAAATTGAAGAGAATTGAAGAAAAGAAGGAAACAAATAAAGAATAAAAAAAAAAGGAGCAAGGGTTCGAACTCAAGACTTGGGGGTAGGGATTTGAAACTCTGACCATTGCACCACAACTGACTGTTCAGCTTTTCAGTGACAGAGCGCGAATAATATCTGTTCTAATATTCGGCTCATGAATTGGGAGAAAATGACAAAATAAGAGACGGTGGGAAGATTCGAACCCAGCACCACGCCGCCAACATCCAGCTCATTTCCATGTGAGCTACA